GGCAGACTTGGACCTGTGTGGAGATCCTTTGCTTGCTTTGAGGTTGGGCTCTGGTGTTTGAGCTCTGGTCTCAGGGAGGCTCTTTCATGGCCACAACGAACTGCGGCATTTAATCCATGGAATGGACCCGTGGCAGCTTCTGCCATGTAGGAACCCAATGGCGAATCCGTCCCTGCCCTGCCAAAATGGGAACAGTGGTTGGTGTAGCCATTATAAAGGTCTCTTGGAAACAGGGAGGACGAGAATCAGAGTGCTCTTGCCTTGGGAAGATGTGCTCAGAGCCCTGCTGGCGTTGCAGGTCTTGCTGCCTGTCCCCTGCGCCCGGAGGCTCAGGTGCCAGCCCTAAGCACTGCCCTGCCTGGACACCGCATTCCACAGGAGCTGGGCTCCATGTATCTTCACTTGGTCATCCTGCCTGCATAGGATGTGTGTGCCATCTCCTAGGACCTACAGTGAAAATATCTTTTTTTTTTTTTTTTCCGCAGTCAGAGAAAAAATTGGACCTATAGCAACACCGGATTATATCCAGTACGCCCCTAGCCTGCCCAAAACCCGCTCAGGTAAGGGGTCTAGTGACAGTGCTGGGAGGGGGACCGAGTGATTCCTGCCAGGGGAAGGAAATCAGCCCTAAATTAGATGTCCAGGGCCACTCAAATTCAGAAGGGAGCAACCCCAGGGCAACCAGGATTCTGCAAGTCTGGGCACTCCCCACTCCTGCTAGGGATGCTGAAGAGATCCTGATGCCTGCTTTCCTTTCATGGCTATCTTTACAGGAAAGATTACCAGACGGATATTAAGGAAGATTGCCAAAAATGACCAGGATCTGGGAGACATCTCCACCTTGGCAAACCCGGGCATCATAAAACATCTTTTCAACAACAGATGTGACACTAAACAGTAGTGGCATGACCTGTCCCTGCTGAGCAGAACTTTAGCAGCAGCAGTGTCCTGATGAGCAGGTCCCTTGAATCACCACTGTCTGCCCCGGGAAGGAAACCTTCACCTGTTGAATTGAATGTACAACCGTTAGGAACGAGGGAAGGGCTGGCTCTGGAGAGGCCACGTCTCACTAGTGCGTCCTATGCCTCGGAGGAGCGTGTGCGTCGTGTTCCAGATGGGTATCGTACGCCTGAGGCTCGGCCTCACGCACAGAGGGACTCCTCCTCCTCCCTTTTTAGCACCTCGTTCTTGATTTTTAATTTTATTTTTTTGAGGGGGGAGCATTAGTTAATTTTACATAATTTATGTGGCACCTTGCGTGCAGTGGGAAGGAGCTTTGGGGGTTGGAGGGGAAGTGGTGCTGGAGTTACTCAATGCAGGCAGGCAAGGGAAGTTCCTCTGGCACTGCCCACGCACGGGCTGAGCTTCCTTTTCTACTTGGAGCGCTGCAGGCTCCGGGAGAACTTGGAAACACTCTCGTGTCGTGACTGTACAGCTGAGTTTTCAGGCTTGCAGCCACGGGCTAAGCCTGTTGGTAGCAGAGCTCCCCTGGCCTGCACGGGCATGGGGTGAGGTTAGAGGGAGCTCCGTGCTTTAAACCGGCTTCTTAGAGAAATGTGGTACCAAGATCTGCTACTTCCTGCCTGGGCGGTGCCAGTGTGTTCTTCCCAACCCAGGGTCCTTCGCTGGCCACGGATGCGACCGGGAGCCACGGCTGGTTGAGGAGGAAAAGCCGTGGTGTGATGTGCTCCATGGGGCACTGCTGCTGCCCGCTCTGCTGCCACCGGCTCAGGGCTGAACTCGGAGGCTGCGCAGCTGGATGCTCCTCGCGAGGCCTGGGGTAGGAGCGGGTGCTGTTAATGCCAAAGGACACAGGGCAGGCAGTGCCAGGCAGAGGCACCTTTCCCATTGCAGGCAAACCAGGGTCACAGCACACCACAGCCATTGCTACAGCCAAGAAACCGAGGCAGGCAGCGCTGCGTCACTCCTGGCTGATGTTTTCCTAGCAGGAAAAAGCAGTGGAAGATGTTCAAAGTTAGCTTTTGCTTCTGCTGCTAAGAGGAAGAAACCCCAAACCCCTAGCCCATGAGGGCACTGCCAAAGCCATTTTTAAATGGGTTACATTGAGCTCTATCCCTGGGTTGAGCTGGTAGAGATACCTTTGTTGTCATGTCTGTATGGAAACTGCATGTGAGCTGTTCGATTTTGCACTTCAACCAAAGGAGATTGGGACTTTAAAACTTGCTGCAGCAGCTGTTCTGGCGAGTGCCAGCATACAGGCTTCGCCTGCAAATGGAGCTGAGCCCTGGCTGGGCTGAAAAGGGTGAGGCGGCCGCCTCGGAGGCCGGGGGCTCCGGGCGGGAAGGTGCTCTGATGGGCTGCTGTCCAAGTCCCATGTCTCACTTTTTACCTGCTGCTCTCACCGGCATGGCACTCCTCTGGGAGCTGTAACCTCACTGCCTGCCAGCGTCCCCTGTGCCCCCCCAGCTCTGCACTGCTGGATTGTGCCACCTCCTTGACAAGGATTCCCACGTCGTTTCTCCCCCTCTTGTTACTCCTAATCTGCTGTGTGATTTTTGGCTGGAAACAGCTAGAATTTTACGCAAAACAGAATAAAATTCAAGGAAACAAAATGGAAATAGCCTTAGAGTGTGTGCATGGGCTGTAGGTGATGGTCGCTGTGGAGTCTGGGGGTGCTCAGGTATCACCGTTGGACCTGTCGTGCCATAACCAGGACAGGCTTATGGGGAGGGGCAGGTTACTGCCAGTGCGACGCTTCTCCATGGACTGGGAGCTACAGGCTCTGTCTCAGGCTGTGCTGCCACCCTGCACTGGGGCAAGGGCAGAAGCTCCAATTCCAGAAGCTCCACTTCCAGGGCCAGAGCCTGTGCCTCAGTTTCTCCCTGGTCTCCAGCCAGCATTGGTCCACTAAAGCTCAAGGAAAGCATCATCAACCCCACCATGCAGGAGCAGGGCCAGGGCTAGTGGAGCACCCCAGGAAGCTCAGGGCTATTGCTGGCTGCCTCACCACCCCACCAGGCCTGGACCTGATCCAGGCACAGTGATGGCTGCCACCAGCCTCTGCGTCTTGTCTCTTGGTGCCCAGCAATCACCTTGGCCTCAGGCCTCACCAGCATCTGCCTCCAGCAGCTCGGGCCGTGCTACAGTGCTCCCCTGCTCCTGGTGGCTGCAGCAAGCCTTGCCTGCTTGCTGCTCCAGCAAAAGCACAGCCATGGCTCCAGGCTGAGGGTGCTTTCTCCTGGAAACCATCCTCGCCCCAGCAGCTCTCCCTCCACTGGTTGTGCTGGGCCAGCGCTGCAGCCACATCTCCAGCATGGTGCTGTGCGGCCTCAGAGCAACCAGAGGAGAAACTGCTGGGTTGGCTTCAGCTGTGCCCTGTGCCAAGGTACATGAACAGTGCACGGCACATGCCTGGCTGGGGAGGAGGCAAACACCTCCCCTTTGCATCTCGTCTCCAACAAAACTGGCACAGCAGCAGTGTTGATTGCACATAGGGTTTATTTCTGGCTGGAGGTAATCATCCCAACCACCCAGGAATCACAGGATCAGGCACTGAACGGAATCATTCCAAGGGGAAAGACTGATGATTGAAGCACGTGGCACAGCTGCACAGCAGCAGCAACGTGCCCAGCGGGGTGGTCACTCCGCATGTTCGTGCTGCAGGAGCACTGGCTTCACGGTGCGTCTCTCCGGTGTCACTGAAGGCAGAGCTGAGGCTGCCCAGGCACTTCACCAGGGCACTGCCAGAAAGGTGCATTTTGTTTTTTTTCTGTTTCTTCTTGCACTGCTCGGCTGAGGAGGAAGAGGGGCAAGAGGAAGAGGCAAGAGACCTTGGGAAGGAGAGCCTGCACTCCTCCGTGTCCCTCCCCTGCCATGCTGTTCCCACTGGTTCATGAAACCTGGCGAGAGACCCATCTCTCCCTCCGCTGGTGCTGGTCCCAGAGTGAAGCCCTTGGCAGTTAAGGCTGCACCTGCTCAGCCTCTCCTGCAATTCCTTTGCTTCCTTGCCCCAAAGCTCCCAGTCTCAGCCCACTCCACATCCCAGCAGGACCATTACTGAGGTCAGGGCTCCCTGACACTGCTCTTGGGCTGTATGTGCTGCAGCAGACCAGGTGGGAGATGCCCAGTGCATGACTAGAACAAGCCCTTGGGACTGCGGGGTTTATCAACACTCTGGCTGCAACACGAGGCTCCAATTCACTGTCATTGAGGAATTCTTATGCCAACGCCCAGGGATCTGTTGGACACGGATGCAGCAGGAGCAGACGCAGCCCTCCCATGGGGAGGGCATGAACTGCCAGATGCATTCTGCACTGCTGCCTGCATGCGTAGCACAGAGGCACTGGTGGGGATGAGCTCCCAGTCCAACACAACAGGAACCGGGCAAAGCAAGAGGCCCTTGGGCAAATTACACCAGGGCAGCTGTCCCTTGCACAGGAGCTGTGAAGAACCTCAGGCACAGGGAGATGTAGACGTGAGGGCAGCAGCACCCGAGAACAAGGGCTGGAGGGGCCATGGGCACGTGGAGCTGGGCTCTGCTCTTCAACCCGGAAAGCAATCGAGGCACTGCTGAAAGAGGTGAAGGCTGTTACTTGCACATCCACCTTCCCCCCCATTCCCCAGGCTTTGGGTTTCTGGGTCTCCAGAAATAACGCAGGATCACAGAGCACAAAACTGGGAGTGTGAGCACCTGGTGTGGCATATTCACCCTGCAGCATTGCTGTACCAGCCCCTGCCCGCAGGCTGGACCCCAAGGGAACACCCAGCCCAGTGCAGTCCTGGGAGGTGACAGCTGGGACGCGCAGGTGACAGGGCCCACTGAGCAGGCAGAGCAAGGGAGTCCCTCCTTCCTGCAGGAGGAATTGCAGAAGAGAAGCTGGGGCTGGCACCCAGGACGTCAGAGCAGTTGTGCCCACGCAGTCCCTCCTCACAGTCCCCCACAAGTCAGACCCTGGGAAGTGCACCCTCAGGAGAACATCCCTGTGGCAGATAGCTCTGTGGGCAGCAGAGTGAGGTGGGCAGGACAGGGCCTCACCTCCTCACACCAAGTACGGAGTGTCCAGCACTGCCACCCCAGCCGCCACTCCGCCA